GTGCGAAGATAATTGGCTAGAAATAACTGAAAAATCACTGTTATCATTCTTACCTTCTGAACTCCCCCGATCACCCCTCGACTCAGCATCATCTACTCTTCCTACCAAACTTCCTTTCTCATCCCCATCATCACTTTTCGTCTCTAGACCTTTTTCTTTCTCATCTTCTCCGCTTACAGATCTACTTGCCTCGTCCTCAACCTCTAAACTATCCATTTTCTTCTGAATCTCTTGTTTCAAAACATCTTCACTTGTAACACGGCTGCTCCCTTCTGTGTCCTCATTATCTTCATCCTCAATATCCCAACTCAATTCCTCTTCTTCCTCACCGGAGATCGCTCTCTTCACAAGCCTCGCCCTTGCTTCTTCTGCTTTCCTTATTCTATAAACCTTGTAAAAGTATCGGCTCCAGAACATCTCCCGATCAATCCTATCCGGAACCACCTCACTATAAATCTCATCAATTACACCATTTTCCTTAATCAAATCCTCAATTTCCCCACTCTTCTCCTCCAATACAAATCCCAATTTCCACTCGTTATAATCACTCGAATCCTCTGGCTCTTCACAATACGTTTTCGCATCACACTGAACCGCTCGAATCGTCGCATCAATTCTACTATAAGGTTTTGCATCCAAGTTCAAATTTTGCTCTAAACTACTAGTTCTCCCTAAACTCCTACTAGTGCTATTTTCAGATAATTCGCTATCAGAATCATTAACAAGGATCGAGTCCTTACCGTGAGCAATGATCTCTGTTACAGTGGAGCCGATATTGTCGATCGCTTGGCCAACCGACTCGAGCGATTCCTGTGCAACAGCGGCGCCTGATTCAAGCCGAGCCGGCAAGTCCTTAACGGCACGGCTAGCAACTTCACGGATAGTAGCGGTTTCCTTTTTCAAACCGGAGCTGAACTCCTCGAGATCGCGGCGGTAATTTTGCATCACGGATTCAGATTTCGATGCTATGGTTTTGAACAAGCTCGAACCGAAAGTCCATGCGTTTGATATGGCTGGAGTATTAGGGTTAGGGTTAGTGTTTGGGGATTCGGGTTGAGATTGAGAATTTGATGGAGAAGTAGGGGCGTTTTCGGAATCAGAAAGTTCTTCTGGATCATCGACGAATACAGATTTAAAGAAATCCATGAGAAAAAGGAGAAATTTTAAAATTTGTGTGTGATTTGATATTTATATTGCTATAGCAGAGGCGCGTGTTGGGCAAACGCTATAGGCCTATACTTTCGCCGGAAATTCTCAACGGCGGCGGAGACGTACAGAAGATATGAAGGTACAACATTGCTGGTACAACTTATCTTATTGAATTCCGTAACGAAAATAATAAAGAAATGCTATTTTTGGTAACTAATACAAATAAAAAAGGCCAAATACAATGTAGGCCCTCAAACTTGTCCTTTTTTGTCAATTGGACACCTAAACATACGGGTGTTCCTATCAGACACTAAAACTAAATTTATTTGTACCAATTAAACACCTAAACATAGGGTTATTCCTATCAGGCACTCCAATTAAATCACATATATGCCAATTAAATACTGTCAAGAGAAAGGGCGCGTGAACATGAGAAAAACTTGTTGATTTTTTTTTTTTTTATTATTATTATTATTATTATTATTATTATTATTATTATTATTATTATTATACTCCATATTATGATTATTTTATATATCATAATATATTAGTCCTATTAAAGTCAGATCGTCATTTTTTTTCTTGGCAAAATCGAAAGCAAAGTTGCTTGCCTTCTTAGGTTTCTTAAGAATTTCATCGTCATACCACCTGAAAAAATTGCAAGTAACTTTGCCTTCGATTTTGCCAAGAAAAAAAATGACGATCTGGCTTTAATAAGAATAATATATTAGGATATATAAAATAATCATAATATGGAGCATTATTATAATAATAATAATAATAATAATAATAATAATAATAATAATAATAAATCAATAAATTTTTCTCATGTTCACGCGCTCTTTCCCTTGACAGTGTTTAATTGACACATATGTGATTTAATTGGAGTGTCCGATAGGAACAACCTTATGTTTAAGTGTTCAATTGGCACAGATGGATTTAGTTGGAGTGTCTGATAAGAACAACCCTATGTTTAGGTGTCCAAGTGACAAAAAGGGACAAGTTTGAGGACCTACATATGTATTTGGCCAATAAAAAAAAAAGAAGGAGAAGAAAATGCTACACCGACAAGTTTTTTATTTTTAACTTCTTTTTTTATTGTGGTTGGATGCGAGATCTTTCTATTTTTGTCCCGAAATCTCAAAGTATTTAGTTGATTGTTTATTTAGTTTCTGTACCAAATACGTAGACGTCCAAAATTCAAGAAGTTTAACGGTATGTCCTCTTTTAAACCGTTTTTTTCAATTTTGTACTTTTTAAAAATAGTTTTCACGTATCTACCCACACACAACATAGTGGCTCAAGGGGAGGCTAGTAAAACCTTTGCTTTAGGCTCCATAAATTTTAGGACCCCAAAAATATTTTTAATTGTGAATTTTTAATTTTATTTTTGATAAGATAATAATGAAGTTTATAGAAAAAAATACACACTCATTATAAAATTAGAAAGAAAAATTGTCTATTTTTTAACAATATTGTTTTTTTAGAACTTTGAATTAAGCTACTCAAATCTTCACATTGGTAAATAATATTTTTTACAATAAGATCCAAGGCAACACATTATTTATACATTGTTAAAATCTTATTAACTTGAATTTTCTTACCAATGTAAATATTAATACTTCGTATTATATTTTGTAAGATAATACAGAAACCAATGTTAATATTACAGATAAAAAGAAAGAAAAAAAAGAAACCAATATTAATATTACTATTATGTTTTTGTAAAATAACTGCACTATGGACAAAAAGATAGGAAAATAAATGCCCCTTATTAAAATTTAGTTTTAGGTCACAAATTTTATTGAGACGTCCTTGACACACAATCGTTCTCCATATTATTCTTCCTCCTCCTTATCCTTCACATATAAATCCTCAGCTCAACTGTAATTGAACAAGCGACACTTCATACTTCTAAGAAAATGAGTGATTCAGGTACTCAAAAGTATACTAAAGCGCTTGATAGTATCATGTCGAAAAAACTCGATAAAATGACATCATAACTTCGAAAAAGGGTTATTCTTTTATCGTTTGATTAGAAAGGCAGCACATATAAGGGATAACGATTGTAAATAAAAAACGCAGGACTTTGTGAAAGGTTTTTTATAATGTATCACCATACTATTAAATATTTTTATTTAACGAAATTAGCGGCAACTAAACCTCATTTACTTGTAGCAGATCATTCTACCACTGAGCAACAATAGTTTGGAGGATGTTCCGCAAACAGCTCAATTCAATGAGGAACTTAGCTTGATGGAAGATTACACTACCAAAGTAGAATCTAGGAGGAGGAAATCATATTTGCTACGTATAAACGCTGTCGACTCTAATAATTATACGATATACTTTTTAACTTTTTAAAATTTAAAAAAGTAAAAGTAAGAGATAAGGTGAGACATGTGAAACAATGGGAATTGATATTGAACGTTGATTGATCTAAAGTTGTAGTAGAAATTTAACTACCTATAAAAAAATTATGAACAGACTAATTTAGACCGTACGAAAGGTGTCATGCCAATTAACTAGGAACTTTGGACAACTTGATCATGTTAGAAATGAAGGCGTGGAGTTTACACTCAGGCAGCATGACAAACAAATAAATCAAAAGATGTTTGAATCTGAAAAAGAAGAAAGCGGGTAGCGGCGAAAAGAAGAAAAAAAGAAAAGGAGGAGGAAGAGGAATTGATGGGTGTGAAAGAAGAGTATAAAATAAGCTGATTGCAAGACAAAAGAGGATCCGGTGAAATTATGGACAAGGATATTTTACTCAATCTCCCTCTTGTTATTTTAAAAAATTAAACGAAATAAAATAAAATTTTATCAGTGAGTATGTAAGAGAACCTTAATTCTTTATAAGGATGGGAAGAGGAAGAATGGATGTGGATTTCATAAATGGCTTAAAAATGAATTTGAATATAGAAAAAGAAGGAATGTGGTGGTGTAAAGACTGAGGAAGAATGAGTTTGAATTTATGGACCTTAAAAAGGCCAAAAAATTGATTTTAAAGAGGAGGTAGAAAAATGATTAGCGAAGACTCATTGGAGACGGGCAAAAAAAATTTCTTTATGCAAAACTCCATATTAAGGATTTAATAAACATATATCTGGCAATCAACATATCGAACAAAGATAAGATGTCCAAACGAGAAACAGTATCAGGTAAAAGGCAAGTGTGCAAATAGCCGCTTGGAGCAGGACTGGGCATATATCGGGTAAAATCGGTAGTCCATATCGAAAAAAACTTATTGGATTATCGGTATCGGGTTATTGAGTTTTTTTTTTTTTTTGGTAATTGGGTTAATGTGTCGGTAACAGTTTAGTGTTATTTTACTATTGGGTTATCGGTACATCTAGGATTTCATTTTTCCAGTTCTCCCAATTCTCCCAGGTCTCAGATGCGCTCTTCAAGACTCAAGTTCAAGTCTTCTTCTTCAGAGACTGATAACCCAATTCTCCTAGCGTAAGTTTATTTTCAAAAAATTGAAATCTAATTATTCTTTTCTTAAGAGCAAAATTTAGCCTATTCTCTTAAGTATTAACAGTAGATTTCAAAAATAAAAACATGAGTCACAAGTGTAGGACTTTAGATCCAGAAAAAGCAAAAGGCTTTTACATTCCGTTTTACACTGGGCTAGATATTGGGAAATTCTTGTTCAATTATTCAGCCAAAGATCGAGACCGAAAGAGAGAAATGCTTCTTGATTGATACCATTTAATTATGCTTGTAGATTAACTTGGGATTTTATTTTGTGGGACAATGCTGAAAGTATATCCAACTAGCATATCGTGGAAAAGTGGTCGAATGTCGACACAAAAAGAAAGAGAGCATTTGAGAAGGCTTATCATATTCTTTATACAGTGCACACTATGCTTCATTGCCTCTTCCCTCTAGAATTTATATTGAGCTATCTTATCGGGTAAACCGATAACCGAATCGATAATGATCGATAACCGGTATCTTATCGGTTCGGTTATTGGTTTAGCATATTTATAAATCGATTGTTGATACTCGATTTTGCCCTCATATTTTTATAAATATCATATATACTTTCAAAATATTATTTTTGCATCATTACCAATTTACAAGAGTCATATAAGTATTTTCTATAATTTTTTCATAATTTTTAATGCTTTAAAATTAATTTTTTTGCATTTAAATTATTCAAATATTTATTAATTACTTCTTTAAATTATTTTGTGATGACTTAATCATTCAAATTTTTTATTTACACCCACATATAGGCTTTATAATATTTTTATTTGATTTTATATAATTACATTTGTATTTTCGAGCTATTTATACAATTTTACAATAATAGCCTATAATCTATACATAACTACATTATTTACATTATTTATACTAAAATAACATTTTTATATTTTTTATAATGCTAAGCTATTATTCTAAATTATTTTACTGCATAAGTAATATTTTATTGTTTATAAATTACTTGTTATAAATTAATTTAAATAAATTTTGCATATTTTAATTCATAGTCCAATCCCAAGCCAATTTTTGGACCAAGAGATGGCCCAAACCTTAGCCCAATCTCCCTTGGCCCAAAAATAAACGACCCCTTTATTCCGACCCGGTCGGGGCCCCACTGGCCCATCCCATCTCTCTCTTAAAAATCACAGCCGTTGATCAGACTCACAATACCTCCCCTTCTTTCCTTATATCTCCATAACCCAATCCTAAAGACCCATTCTCCTAAGCCGCCGTCCCTAAATCCTCTATACTCTCACTCTTTCTCTGAAGAACCCTAGTTGCCCTCCCCGTAAATCCCTCTCTTAATCCCGCTGATAATGAGATTCTTCCATTATTTGCTTGTCATATATGTGTTTCCCCGTTACTGATCACACGTTTATGGTATTACTTAGGTACTTGCCCAATTTTGGCAAGTACCATCTCCAAACCGGACTGGAATCGACCTTAATTTTGGAGATTTGGACAATATTTCATCCATATATACGAAGAAAGGCCTGATTCTTCATACTAGTTGGCCAATTTTAAGCGTCAAACCCTAACTAGGGTTTGGAGTTTGATTTCTTTCCTTTCGGTTTCTTTACTGATTGCATATGTATCTTTCTCCTTTCCTTGTTTGTGTTTGCTTAATTTTCCTTCCTTGTTTACTCGTTGATTTAACTATTATATAAACCCCCTTCC